ATATCACCTCTCAATTTAGTTAAAAATGGATTGATTTTTTCTGCAAAATTACAAATTAATATTAATCAATTAATTATACATCTGATTAATTCATTCAATAATTAATACTATTTAAATATAAAAATCGAAACTCAAAAGTAGAAATAATTCTATAAAATTTAAAATAATGTTTAACATATTCACTTTTTAATNAGAAATAATTCTATAAAATTAAAAATAATGTTTAACATATTGACTTTTTATTTTGGCAGGGAATTTAGTGGAACAGGTAAATACGGTAATATAGTAAAGCATTTGGTATCTAAATGAAATATTGTTAATAAGAAAATATAATAACTGTACGTGAATTTATTCAAGTAAAATAAACAGAATTAGTCAACAATTTTTTCGTTCTACATTTTATAAATGTTTTTGTTCGCCAAACTTCGAAGCAAAATGGGACATTAAATTCGATATTAAAACTATGTTAATTTTTAAAAATCAATATGCTATAAATTATGATAACGATAATTAAATATTTATATTTTTTAGTTGTTATCGTAACTAAACTATACATATTATAATACTGGTGTACTATTTTGACGAAGACTTCGAATTTTTACTATATTAAAGAATGAATCCCACATTTTACAACGCCTGTTACAAACCCGTATTACTATAGTATTATTGTTAGTACGATTTAGTTAGTTAATTAGTAAGTGTACAACTAATAGTCTGGGTAAGCAATTTTCAATAGTGTTCGAACTGATGTTGTATAAAGTGTCGCATAAATATAAAATTGTGAATGATTATTATAACATTATTCATTTAATAATGACTATAAATTCTAGAACTTAAATTATATTATTGTAGTTATTCGTAAAAGTTAATTGTACAGTCCACTCCAACACGTCACCGTGTCTCATCTTAAGTGGGAACCCAATATTATTATGGGTTATAATATTACAAAGATTTTAATATTTGTATTAAAAGCCCTTGAAAATGGCTTTGAAATGAATATTAAGATTATTTTTTACTTCTTTTTCTAGTAAAAATATATTAACTTTATTAATATTGTAGTAAATTAAAAAAAAAATAAGATTGTTTTATCATTTTAACAATCAACATTTTTTTAATTATTTTAAATATATAAGGATTTAAAAGTTATTTAATTGTCTTACCTTCATTAAATTCAATTGTTGGATCTAAGTCTGAGTTAGCAATACAAATATGAATTAAATCTATTGATCTTGGTAAATTTTTTATTGACAAAGTGTTAAATATATGATTTAATTTGATTATTCCTGATGTTGGATCTGTTGTTCCCTATTAATAAAAATTTACTATTTGGATTATGCATAATTTAAATCATTTTGTTTAAAATATATGTTAAAACAATTTTTTTTTCACACACCCCGGCCAGGACAGCATTTTTTTTAAATAATGTTAAAGGTTATTTTAATGGTGATCGTTCACTCTAATATCTAATCAAACCAAAAGTCAAATCAGAAGATTGCTTTAAATTTGTTTTTGTTAAATGTTTTTTAAATATTTTGCCTTTTACTTAGAGGCGAATGTGCTTTAAGATATACTGGTAATTTTGTTTTAGAGTATATTTTTGAAGTTGAGCCCTAAATACGTCTGTTACCACTTATTAAGAAAATTGCAATTACACACTGTTAGATGGATGACTTACTTTGATTATTTCTGTTGTTGAAAATATAATTCCCTGTTAAAAAAAGGTACTGTTTAGATTATGCATATCATAACCTTAATCATGAAAATTAAATAGTGATTAATCTCAATGTCGTAAATTTTGGAGTTAATGGAATTAAAGAAATATTGATGAATTTTTGTTTGACAGTATTTGATTGGAGTTGAAGCCCCTCAATACGTCTGTTGCTACTTAGAAAAAAAATTGTACACAAAAATTTTTATATCATTAAAATAATTTGAAATTTGCCGATTATAGACAAATTTTTTTTAATTGTCATATTATTTTTTCAAAGCTTTCATTTGGTACAAGTTTTGAGGATACAGTTATTCGAGAACATTATCATAAATTTAAAAAAAAAGTTTCTAAAAAATTTTAAAAATTTATGATTTTGGTAGCAGATTATTTATAAAAAACAAGTTTTAGGATCATTTGTTTTTAACTTAAAGTACATTGAATTAGTTTTATTTAAATATATAATAGAAATTGTTAGGAATGTTGGTACCATGTCAATAATTAAATTGAAAACAATTTTCCTATCACATGTATTTNTGTTGGTACCATTTCAATAATTATATTGAAAACAATTTTCCTATCACATGCATTTAATATCCATATTTATTCAATAATTAATTGGGTTTCTAGAAAAAGTATCTAGATAATAAGTTTAGTCGTCTATAGTATCAAATTAAATTTATTTGAAATTGCGAAACAAATAAAAAATTGCCGTTCTCAACGATTGTAATTTCTGCATATATTTTGATTAGTATAAAATTACAATTTTGTTGTAATCTTTATCATTGGTATTATGTTAGTTATGTGTATCTTTATCGGGCGGCTATTATCTACCTGTGTGGACATTGTAAAACCCGAACGCGTCTGACCGTTACCGCCGGACCACAGTGGTCTGAAATCGAATTTTAGGCACTCATAAGTCCCATTTTAAAATGTACTCATAATGTTAAAATAATTATGAAAACTCAATTCTAGTATATTGCTTAGATAAAATATAAAATTTCAAGGTCACATGTTAATCTGGTCGTTATTTATAGCCGTTTGAAGTATAAATAGGGTTATTTTTATTATTTTATTAAAAGTAAAGGTTAAAGATATTAAAAAAAAAATTTCGAAAAAAATTTTTTTTAACTTATTAAAAGACTTTACAACGAAAAGTTGAATGTTTATGTTGAAATAACCGTAATATAACCATATTTATACTTCAAACGGCTATAAATAACGACCAGATTAACATGTGACCTTGAAATTTTATATTTTATCTAAGCAATATACTAGAATTGAGTTTTCATAATTATTTTAACATTATGAGTACATTTTAAAATGGACTTATGAGCGCCTAAAATTCGATTTCAGACCACTGTGCGGACGTGCAAGTGTATTATTTAAATAAAAACAAATGTACACGTTTTCAATAATGTGTTATTTTTTTAAGTTAAGATTAGTAGTCTTTGTTTACATGGCCCTAAATCTCCTAGTTTCGTTTTTTTCTTCCGATTAAAGAGTAATATACAAAGTGTTCACTAATGTTTTTAATGTTTCCATTGTTTAAAACAAGTAACCCGTTTCCTTACTTACTGAACACTGTATATAATTTAGTTACACAAATGACTAATTCTATTAATACATTTTATAATTGTATATCTGTACATATATAAAAATTGTATTTTTATAAGATAAAACTGGTATAT